GGGTCTTCATGTGAGTTATTCCTAGGGTTCTACCTATGGGTCTTGGGTGGAGGGTTGAGGCATAGGTTGTTATGGTTTGGGTGCTAGGGGGTGGGGCATGGTTAGAAAATGGAAATGGTCATTGCTAACTTTAACATCCGCGAAGCCCGAAGCCTCAAACACCTGTAGTTGAGTTTCACTTCCAAGGCCATACTCCGGAGCCCGACTTTGTTGAGGTTTGGGGTTTAGGGCTTTGGATTTCCATAGAGAGACCCACGACTTCGGTTGCAGAGAGGTCTTCCCATCGACGGTAAACCCTAAACCCTCAACCCCTAAATCCTTAGACCCCCAAATCCCTTAAGTCCCTAAATCCCTAAACCCCTAACCCCTAAACCCCTTAAGTCCCTAAACCCTCACATCCCTAGACCCCAAAATCCCTAAACCCGAAGCACTCTAATTGCGCTAGACCATCTGAAGCCTTATAGAAACCTTTCATAGAGCGTTAAGGGGCCCTAAAGGCCACCTAAACCTTATACATCTCTCTAAACCCTAAACCCTAAACCCGAAACCCTTAAGTCCCCTAAGAATCCCTCTCTCTCTCCAGGAATTGCTGGCCGGTGCCCGATCGCTGCTCGATCGCCTCTTGGGTCTCCGCCAGCAGCTGACGCGAGCCATGGAGGCCCTGTGCTGCATGTTGAGCAGCTTTTTCTGTTGGGGGGGTTTAGGGTTGAGGGTTTTAGGGGTTCAGGGTTTAGGGTTTTAAGGTTTAGGCGTTTAGGGGTTTTAGGGTTTTAGGGTTGAGGGTTTTAGAGTTCAGGGTTTAGCTTTCAGGGTTTAGGGTTCAGGGTTTAGGGTTTTAGGGTTTAGGGGTTAGGAGTTTAGGGTTTAGGGTTCAGGGCTTTGGGGTTTAGGGTCTGGGGTGCAGGGACTCAAGATAAGAGGCTTTTTTGGGGAGCTGCTGTGGAATTTTGGGGTTTGATGGAGCTCAGGGCCTCGAGATGAGGTGCATGCTCGAAGCCACGAGCTTCCTTGTGCAGTTTCGGCAGGGTTTAGGGTTTAGGGTTTAGGGTTTAGGGTTTAGGGGATCAAGACGGGAGGGCTCGCAGCCCTGGGGCCCTGACAATTTATCCTAAAGGCCTCCCTGCGCCGACCATGTTTGAGAACCCCCCTAAATCGTAGGCAGTATCATAGGTCGCAGAGTGTGCAGCAGGTTGACGTCGAAGTCCTGAAAGTCAGCGCGAGCTCTGAGTCTACCAAGGCCTCTAATTCATCCTTAAGCTCCACAGTCTCGTCTGCCGGTGGTGGCGAATAATCATGCCGATGCTCTCGACGTTTGGGAGCTAAACGCTGCGAACTTGATCAATGGTCATAGCAGCTACACCCTCCCGAAGACGTGGGAACCCCCTAAACCCCTAAACCCTAAACCACGAAGCCGTTAAACCCTTAAACCCCTAAGCCCTTAAGCCCTAAACCCTAAACCTTGGAAACCTTAAACCCTAAACCTTACGAGCCCTAAACCCTAAACCCTATATCCCTAAACTTTCTAAACCCTAAGCCCTCCACTCTACTCTGAAAGCGCGGAATCGGATGCGGAAGCGCCATGGGAAGCTCTGGATCTGCTCCAGACCAGGGCGGTGACGGGAGGACGGCGTTAAGGAGGGCTTTCTGGGTTCAGGGGTTTAGGGTTTGGGCTTTAGGGTTTAAGGGTTATGGGTTCAGGGGTTTATGGTTTAAGGTTTAGGGTTTAAGGTTTAGGGTTACAGTTTCGGGTTTAGGGCTTTGGGTTTAGGGTTTGGGTTTGAGGGTCCCTTTGAGGGTCCCCCTTTACAAGGTGGTTTAGGGAGCTGGCCATATGGGTAGTTCTCTAAGTTAGGGTCCCTTTTGGGGGTCCCCAATAAAGTATGGCACCCTTGTTATAGCGCACTAAAAAGGACCCTACTTTAGACTACCCAAATGAGGGTCCCTCTGAGGGTCCCCTTTGATAAGGTTGTTCAGAGAGCTACCCCAGAGGGTGCTCTTGCAGTGTAGAGGGGCTTTTCGGGCCTTGCAGGCCTTTAATGGGGGTTTAAATTCTGGCTTTTGGGGTGGGGAGCTCTTCAGGCTTTTGGTTTTTGGCGTTGTTTGGGGTTGAGGGTCTTACACTTTCGGGGCCTTGTAACTCTTGTGCTTGCGAGGGCGGTATATGGAGTTGAGAGTTGAGAGTGAGGGATTGAGGGTTTCTGAAGGGTTCTACTACTCAAGGATGATCCGCCCTAATACCCTAATACCCTAATGCCCTAATTCCCCTTATACCCTAAACCCTAAGCCCTTAAACCCTAAACCCTAAACCTCCCTGCAAGGACAGGTGCAGAAGCCGAAGCTCAGGACCGAGCCGGAGAAGAGCAGCCGCGGCGTGGCCGCAGTCCTTCAGGACTCCTCTGGTCGTAAAGACTTGAAAAGGGGACATGCCGCATACTTAAGGTTTTAGGGTTGTCAAGGGTTTAGGGTTTAGGGTTTAGGGTGTGTCAGGGTGCGCTGCCTTGCGTTGACGCTTGCTGAGGCACACGGGCGAGCTCAGGGTCACGGTGATCTTTGCTACGAGTGGTGAGACCCACTCAACAGTTGCCGCTCGGAGAATCCATGGCTAACAGCGGCAGCCTCCCCCCCCAAAGACCGCGAACCCTGGCCTTGGCCCGAAGCCTCAAATCCTAAGCCCCTTGCTCCTGTCCAAATGCTGCTCCCTGAATGATTGAAACTCGCACAATGCCTTCAGCCTAGAAGACTTCCTTCCTGGTCCTATTTCCAATGATAGGGTCCGCGATGTGACTTAGAGACCACAACACTGAACATGAAGCACAGCTGTAGCACAGGACCCCCAATTATGCAACCTGGGGAGCTTGACATAAACTATAGAATGTTGGTAGATATCAGTTTAGGTGATATTGTACCGTACTCTAAGATAAGTTACATTCTATGCTACTACGTTCGAGTCTATGTGCTACTATGTCGTAGAAAGCTTTCCTAAGCCCAGGTGCTGCCTGCCGGCGCCCTGGTCTCCGACCTTGCCAAGGCCGGGCCTTATGGGAAACTCCGTGGGTTTGGCTCGGGCTTTGAGACGCTGTGACGGTTTTCAGGGGCTTGTTTTTGGAGGCTAGGGTTCAGGCTAGGCTGCTTTACTTGTGGGCTTCGAGCTTAAAGTTTCGGGTCTGCGTAGGCTTCTACGACCAAGCGGTCCTTTGGGATGTCGGTGCCTAGGCGCTGGACGAGACCAGCAAGGTCCCGGGCAAATGCCGCAGCTTCCTTCGAGATGGGATGCCTCTGCGCATGGCGGAGCGGTTCCTGATTTAGCGCCATGTGTCCCAAAGTGAATAGGGTTTGCAGGGTTTAGGGTTTTGGAGTTCCGTTTTTCAAAGTGCTACACAGCAAAGAGAGTCGAAAGCCTCGACAGCCCTTTCCAAGCTGGGAGCTTGAGTGCGCAGAGAGGATCCTTTGGCCTGCAGCGGTGCAGTGGAGGAAGTGACGATTCAGCTGGTGGTCGGAGGCCCAGGCTTCCTTTGCCTACAGGCTGCAGCGAGGCTGTCCTTCTTGTCATCCGTGAGCCCCAGGTCCACAGCCTTGTGGGGCGCTGGACTTGGAAAAAGGGCGAGATGCCGGAGGAGCAGGCCCCTGCGATGCATTGCTTTTTCGAAAGGGGGTCGAATCTGTGTTCAGAGAAATGTGCAGGAGGCGCATGACTACGAGTGCCACGTTCTACTGCTACGCGGCGATGGCCGCGCCCAGTTCAACCAGTTTCATTCCTGGCGGCCGGCGGCTTAGACTGCCCAGCTTCCCCAAATTTCATCATAGAAATGACATACGAACAGGCAGCAAAGATGCATAGCAATGGCTGGTAAGAAGAATCATGGCAGTCATAGTCATCATGAAGCAGAATCACAAGACTAAGAATATAAGAAAGAGAAGAGATCATCCTGATGGCCGGGCGGGCGGGCTGGAGGAGAAGAGCAGTCGGAGCAGGCCCCAGAAGGTTCCAACGCTTTAGCCTCCCAACTGCTCCGAATTTGTTGAAGGGCTTGGGGAAGCTACGGGAGTTGTGTGGAGACCCGACGGCTGCAGCGAGGTTGGGGCCACTCCGCCGTAAGGGGGCCTCCCTTCAAGGGCTAGTCGGATATTTCGGCGCCTTCCATCTTCACCTTTGCTGTTCTGCGAGACTCTGCAGTCAGGAAAGACAACGAGAACTATGGCTCCAAAAGGACCATGATCGGCTGCAAGGAACGGGGTGGTCCACGAGACCAGCTGAGCAGCGAATTCCTTTGCGGAGAGGACTTGAAAGACGGAGGCTGGGAGCCCCAAAAGAATGGGAGGGAGAGAGAAGGTGAAGCTATGGTATGCAGACTGCCGCGACCATACTATACTTCATTACAGGTTCACCTTCTGTCTTCTACATATAAGTAAAAGCACATGTGTGTGTGTGTGCGTGTATTTATTCGTTGATCGTATCATAGTACGTTGAAGCACTTTGTGGTGTGTTAAGGGTACCTCCGTACGGAGGCACTTTAGACCCGTAGCTGGGTGTTCATGCACACACGCATGTGTGGTTATACGGGGCATAAACGTCTATGTAGATAAGAAGGCAGATAGAGAATCACATACCATCACACACTTGTAGTGGAGGAATTGCGAAGCTAGACCCGTCTTGAATATTCTGCAAGTGCCAGCCAATGCTCCTGCGTGAAGGTCGGGGCGTATGGGAGGTGCAGCACGACCCGGAGCCCACCCTTTGTGTCAGCGGACCTGGTTTCGTCTCTGCCGGGATCATCGAAGATGACGACCTGGTGGCACACGGCGCGGGGGCGATCCCGCACGAAGTCTTCGTTGTCACCCTCCGAGAGCTGCTAGCGAGCTTCGAGTTCTCAAAAGACTGAGCCTGCGCCCCGCAAAAAAGCAGAAAAGGACGATCCATCGAACCGCGGAACCTTTAAAAGAGGATGGCAGCAACGCAAGCAGGATGACCAGGTAGAGGTATAGACCGAAGCGAACCGCTGGTGTGCAGAAGTTCCTAATGTAGGAACCTCCTGGCCCACTTAACCCCCAACATAAACAAGATGCATATATAGAATTAAAGGGCCCGAATATTCCGACCCCAGTTTCGGAATCAGGCTCCCGTCTTCTCCCGGATTCGGTGCTTCCTTGCCCTTTTTGCGCTTTTCTGCAGTCCATGGATCTTCAGCGGCTGCACCAAGCTGTCGTGGAGGCCGCGGAGCCCTGATGTTGTATGAATTCTTGTATGGGACAAAACGAGTCTAAAGTTGAAAGCTATCATGCTGTTGCAGTATGCCGTAGTATGCGACTCGTTCCGTCCCATGATACCCTAGGCCCTAGAGCCTTCACTCTCATCTTGGGTTTCTGATGTTTGGTCGGGGCCTGCGCGCTTTTCGTAGGCAGAGCAGGAAGATGGCCTGCCGGAGAAGGACTCGAGCCCTCCGGGCCACCGCGGGCTGTTTATTTTTCTTGACACTTCCTGGTTTTAGGGTTTAGGGTTTAGGGTTTTGGGGGTTTAGGGTTTTAATTGGGTTTAGGGTTTTTGGGTTTAGGGTTTAGGGTTTTTGGGTTTAGGGTTTTGGGGAGGGACTTGTTGATTCCTGGAGCTGCTCGATTGCAACTGATGGAGTGCTCGGCGAACGGCATTGAGATGAGGCAAGTCACACATTTTTGCAGTCGCGACATCCCTGCCTTACACTTCACCGCGCACAAACCTTCGAATTGCAGGGTTTCGCTGTGGCAGTTGCAGTTGCTTCCGCTTGTGAATATTGAATAAACGTCGTAGTTACTGAGGCTGCTTTGTTTTCCGACATGTGCGGAGGATTTGGCCAGCGCGCTGAAGAGCCTGGAAGACCTGAAGGCGCGAAGTGGTTTCATCTTCAAGACATCGAAACAGGAGTAGGCTAGGTTTTGCATTGGTGTGAAGCGGCAGAACATAGACTATATATGAAAAAGTATGACAATAACTTACCATACTACATCCGTGTTTCGTGCGTGCCCTCGGTCCGAGGAGGAGGAGCTGAGTCGTCTCGAAAGGCATCTGAAGCAGGCGCCGAGTTTTCCGGGTTCGAGTTTGGGCCTTGAGGTTTACGGTGTCTTGGATTTCTCGGATGTGGGGGTGAAGCTGCGGTGCAGGCTTCGGTTCACGGAGTCCTCCTAAACCTGTGAGCCTAAAGCCTCGAAGTCCCTAAGCCGAAAGCCCTACAAAAACCTTAAACCCAAAACCCGAACAGCCCTAAACCCAAAACCCGAAAAGCCTCGAGTTGCAGCTTTTGGAGGCTTCGGAGGTGGGAGACTTCCGCGCCTTGGATGGGCTGCTCCGACGGGCGGCCTTGGGCCGGGACCTAGGAGTGGAGGCCTGCGGGGGTTCAGGCTGCAAGGGGCTTTTTTGGGTTTAGGGCTCAGAGGTTTAGGGTGTAGGGTTTAAGGGTGTAGGAGCTGTAGGGTGTAGGGTTTTAGGTTTAGGGTGTGCGTGGGGTTTAGGGATTTAGGGTTTAGGGGTTTAGGGTTTAGGGTTTAGGGTTAGGGGGAAGGAGTAAACCATAAGCAGGGCTCAGGCAGAATCAAAGTCATGGATCCATCCATCTGTACCTCCGAACATGCCCGCATGCAGCTGCATTTATCTTTCTAGCTGTCAATCTAGCGGCCTATCCACATATTGAGACGCGTCCGTTTGTGTGCACACGTGCAAACGCATGGATCCATAAACACCGTCATGCATGCACATGCAGTACCTTACTCAACATGCACACGTACACACATGCATACATGCACAAAATAACACACACAGACAGAGCCCGACAGACACAGACACACGGACGGACAGACAGAAAGGTATGCCTACGCGTACATGAGATGCGTTTGTAAGAGAGAGGGAAGCTGGGAGAACGGGATCTCTGAGCCAGCTTGCAGCTGCAGCCAGCAGAAGCTACCGGTGTTTGGCAGGCATTTCGGCTTTGCCTTGGCTGTCGTCGTCTGTTTTAGGTTATCGCCGCGGCGATGTCGCAGGTGTTGGTGCGACCTTTGCTCCTAGCGGGATGTCTTCATGGCGTCTTTGCAGAATGCAACGTCTACCTGGAGACTGAGACGATGAAGGGCCCGGGTGTATGCACCGAAGACGGAGTAGCTGCCATGACAGTCCCAGAGGACAGGGGTTCCCGATTCCTCATTCAGCTGTCATGCCCATCCACTGTGTGGACCCGTGCTAGCCTTGGTTTTGGCGTTGTGTGACTCAAATTCGTTGAGCTGCCCTGAACCCTGAGGAGAAACAGTTGGCGCAGTGCCTTCACGAGTGTTGGGCTAGCTATGTCATCACTTCGCAGCCGGCTAAGGGAGCCAATGCTGCGCTGGCGAAGCCAGAACGGGACAGCTGCTCGACGAATTTCGAGATTGTTTGCAGCACTGTGGAGCTTTCCTGCGCCAAGCCCTTCGGTGAGTTCCCAAATGCCTGCAGCGGCACCGTGCCCCTGGCACAGATGCAAGCCTACTATTTGGCCTTCTATGCTTACAGCCAGGATGCCGGAGGCGGCAACTCGTACAAGGTCCTGGCCAGTAGGGTGGTTCGTGACAAGGACACGATCTGCTCGGGAACCTACGGGGTCAGGAAGGCGTTTGGTGACAACTGTTTAGGCCTCACCACCACCGTGAACACCGACACTCCAGAAGCGGGCCCGGGGGTTGACCCACCTCAGCCGCCGGCCATCGACAACATGCCCGCCCAGTTTCCGGCCCTTGAGCCGAACAAGGAGCAGACCGAGACTTCCAGCACCAGCGAAAGCACCACATCTGCCCCCCAGCCCGACGACGGCAAAGCATTTAAGTATGGCCTTGGCAACATTCTTCCTTGGGTGGCGGGTGTGTGTGCGGTCCTCCTCGTGATCGGGGCTGGGCTGTACCTTCGCCGTTCCAGGCAAGCCGAGGAGCAGAGGGCTCTGAGGACTTCGACGGAGGTGGAGATTCAATCCGTGAACTCCCTGAATCGCTTCTGAGCTGCCGAGAGGGCGGCTCAGAGTCTCACACCGAAGCCTGCGCCAATGATCCAAAACCACAGAGCGCTACTACATGCAGTATCTTCCGCCTTATGAGGACTCAGAATGAGCTACTACATGCAGTACCTCCAGTGAGTGACTCCAACTTAGAATTTATGCGAGATTTCTTTGCTCTTGCAGGTGGAACGCTTGGATCTCGAGCGCTATGAGGGGCTGGTGGTGGAGCTGAAGGAGGGCCTGCAGCTTCAGAGTCCTTTAGTGGCCCCTGAACATCCCTGAGGCAAGTCACTTCTTGCTGTCTCCTGCCATCATGCAGCGGAATGTAGCGACCTGTTAATCAGCTTTCACTGCGTCCCCCCTCAGACGTGTCAGAAGAGCTCAGAACCCCCGAGCCGAACGCCCCAGATGGGCAGGAGGCTCACATTCGCATGATCCAGGCTGGCCTCGGGTTTTCGGAGCCGACTCGCAAAGTGCGCGTGGGATGGATGCCAAGACTAAGGCTTGTAGGTGGCAGTGGCATAGAAGGAACATGAAGGCTTCCCAAGAATGGCATTCTTCGTATCTCTGCGGGCTATTCTATTTTTGGGAGAGTTAGCCGGGTCCATAAGATCACCCCACAACAGTGGCAAGTCGCAGCCGAGCCCCAAAACTGCTCTCGCCAGGACGACATTCACAAACAACAGCGCCGTGATTGGCGGACGCCTTGGTTCGCCCAAATACTGAAGCATGAACCGTTTTACACCCAACCGTCCTTGGCCCCGTGTGCTTGGCCCGAAACTCCTCGGCCTCGACTGCCCAAGGCCAGCCGTTCTAGACGTGATCCCACGCGAGGAGGAGGGGAGAGTGCTTCAGGGTCGGCGTGGAGGGTTGGTTTCAGTCTCCAGGTGGACGCTGGAGGCCCCAGACCCCTATATACTGAGTCATGAGTCACCTTGCATTTCCTTGCGATTGATGTATGTCTGTGTGTGCGTGTGTCTATGGTATGCATAGGTCATAGGCATGTATTCATGCATGCAGGCACACACGCATGTACGTGCGTACAAACGTATGCATGAACGCATGGATGCGTGGATGTATGGGTATTTTGATATTATATGATATATATATACACACATATATATATATATGCAGGTATGTCACTATGTAAGTAAGTATGTATGTATGCATGCATGCATGCATGCATGCATGCATGCATGCATGCATGTATGTATGTGTGCAACCCCTACTCACGCCCACAAATCGTTAAGCCCTAAGCAGAGGAAGGGGCGGTCCCCGAGCTTGTGGAGGTTGTGCAGCTGCCCTCTGCCATTGCACCGGTCCCGGCGTCGAATCCGGATCTCTTTAGACCAGCCTCGTAATCCCTCAGTAGTTATACTATGATATAAAGACCTCTAAAGTCAAGTTTATAGTGTGCTTTTGCATAGTTTTGCATACCCAGGCATGGCTGTTTGTGCGGACGTTGAAGACCATCTGGATCAGTTCTGCTTCGCAGTGGTTCAGGAGACTGAGTTCACCTCCCTGTAGAAGGATTCCGGTATGCAGAGTCTTAAGAACTTCGCTTGGGGGGTCTACTGTCCTTAAAATAGGGTGAGCTTGTGGGGTATTTGAGAAGTTATTTCTGGTTCCCGGGCAGGCTTAGGGGGAACTGCCGGGCGACACGGGGAGACGAAGAGACACTTGCGGTCAGCCGCCTTGAGCCTTGTGCGTGCCCTTTTCCTACGGATGCCTTGTGTGTTCTTGCAGCGGTGGGGGTGTGCTGGTGTGGGAGGGTGGGGGTGACTCCTGTGGGCCTTGCTGCTGTGCCGACCCGACACCGACAGGATGGCGGGAGGTGAGCGGGCGCGTGCGGCGCTTGGTGGTCGCCATTCATCTGGCATGCGCAGCCGCAAGACGAGGAGGACCCGGAAGTGCGACGTCGGTATGGTCACATGGCCCAACAGGGCAGGACGGTGGCCTACCCGAGTGTGGCCCTGCCAGCGCTCGAGATGCAGTTGATGCAACAAGCAGGGCGTGTCGAGCACAAGCTCACAGCTGCGCAAATGTGTCGGCTGGCTTCGGCTTTGCAAAACCTGTCACGCGCGGAACAGGACCCAGGACAGTGTACTGTAGTCGGCCCGCTCGTCGCGTCGGGGGGCGCATGTCAGCCTCTCCTGAAAGTGTTTCGCCCCAGCAAAACACATCGGATCTGTCGCCGTGCCTCGCTCTGGGTCTCGGGAGGCATGTCTGCAAACTAAGATTTCGTAGCAGCTTGCAAGCGCAGCCGACCGAGCACACTACAAGGTGGAGCTCGCTCTGATGCAAAACAATCGTCAATGCGCTTGCAGTTTTTGTGATTTTGGACGACATACACAGCATAAAGCACGAACCCTCTCTCGAACCCCGATAGCTTCGTCGAACTTCGTCGTAGCCCGCGGGGGTTTCCGAACTTCGCCATGGGGTTCGCCCCATCGGGGGTTCCCCTGCATTTCGCCCCTGAGAGCCATGTTCACGCCGAGGCAAATACACGCCTTGATGAACTTGGCAGTACAAAGTTAAAGAAGTACCAAGCAGTTCTGTCCGGTGTTCAGTCCCACACCGCCCCATCCGACCCCATCACACCCATCCTTCCCGCCGGCCTAGCTACCCCGACGTCTAGCCATCCAACTAGCTATCTAGCCATCTGTCTGCTCATATCTGAGCTAGCGTGTGTGTGTGTGTATATATATATATGTGCCTATAAACTAGTGTATATAAATGTATACAAGCTGTGCAGCTAGCTACCTATTAAGTGTACACATATATATATATATACATACATGCATACATATATACATATTAAGGTATATACACGCATGTATGTATTCAGCTCCTGTTTAAACCAAACGTATAGACCATGCTGTTTCTTCGCCGTTCACTGCAGATTTTGACATTTTAGTGTTGCTTGGAGCTTCCAGCCGTCAAGGTCTGCGGTGGCGTCTCGTTGGACCTCTACCCGAGGGGAATCCAGGAGGAGTTCATCACCCTACCGTGGGAAATTGTTGAGGCCCGAGAACGCCAAGATGCTCTGAGGGTCTTGCAGTGGTGTCTCGATGATTGTGGCCCCGGGGTTTCGGACTAGGCTCGATATACCTTACACATGCAAGCAAGCAAGCACGGGAGAGGCATCCCGAAGGGCAGTTGTCAGGTGCAGTCCTCGGTAGCTGCAGTGCGAGTCGTCGCAGCTGACTGCGCGAGGCAAAGATCCAGATCCCACTCCCGACAGAGGCCTCCGGCATCGAGCCTGTGCAGGACCCAACGCTTTTGCTAGATGGCATGCCTAGCATAGGCCTAGGTGGTGAAAGGCAAGCCTCGGAAGGTATTTTCCATGCCTTGACGCCTGTGCTAGGAAGCGAGAGAAACCTGTGACGACCTCCTGCAGTCCATCTCGGCGATTCTCTCCAAAGAGGCGAACGACTATTGGGTTTAGGGTTTAGGGGCAGGGGTTAGTTTCTATTGAAAGTCTTTGGGGCTCACTCAAGTTTCCTAGCTTTTTGCTTGGCTCAGCGCAGCCTCTCGCTGATTCCCCGCATCCAGGACAGCCTCCGGAGGATTGGTGGCGTGGAGATCGAGGACGGCCTTCCTCTCCCTGTTGCTTCAGGGCGCGAATCTTTCTTCAGGATTTCTCTGACACATTCACCTTTGACTTAACCTCTCTCCCGCAGCACAATCCAGCAGCCTCGGGAGGGGATTCTGCGATGTTTTTTGCTGCTGCTGATGATGATGATGATGGTGATGACTCTGATTTAGAGGAAGATGGGCTGTTGAGATTTAACAGCTTGGCCATCGTCGCCAACATCACCGCATGATGGACAACATCATCAACAGTATAGTCATCAAACTCATCATCATCATCATCATCGTCATCACCACACGAACACGCATTACCGTAGCATTCGCAGCAGGACGACGGCGCGTATCGGAACGTCACGCTGCCCATCGCCATCTTTCTGAGCAAGGAGAGCTCCTGTCGGGACATTATCGAGGCCTCGACCCATGGCAGCAGCATGCGAAGCTGGCAGCTCGTACACCCGCAGAAGGAGTGTCTGGTTGGAAGAAGGCATTTTTATTTTATTTGTTTGCTATGTCGGGGGACATTCTGACTCAGGTAAGCTTGGCCGTTTGAGTGCAGTCCGTTTGTGTTTCCATCGAAGGATGGCAGAGCCCGAAAGCCGGGAGAAGCAGCTATAGAAGTTGCCATGTTACTCTCTGTCACTTCGGTTTGAAGATCGAAGTGGGAACTGATGTCTGACTGCTTGATGCTGAGACCCACTGCTTTCCTGAAACAACGCAGTACTCGAAACCCGAAACGCGAACTCTGCACCCCAAACCCTGGGCTAGTTCCAGTGCCTACACAGGGCCCGATACGGCCCAGGATCGGCAAATTGGGCGCACTGGTTTACGTGGAAAGCCTACCTGCAGCGCTTGCATTATTGCTCGGTTGGCAGGCCTTCTTTCGCGAGCCAGTTCCTGAAGCACCTGAAGCTGAAGCAGACGAAGGCCACAAACTTCGAGTTTGTGTAGGGTTCCTCTCATCCTTTCACGTAGGACCCCAGGTTAGAAAGAGCGATATGGTCTGGCTTGGAGCCTAGGGTTGTAGGATGTACGGGTTCAGGCTTGCATTGGGTTTTGGGGATCTTGAACCACATTTCGAGAGTCTGCCTCTTTTGGGCAAGCCCCTCGAAACCTGGTCCTGCGGCGTGCTTGGAACTCGATGCAAAAACCGAAGCTGGAAGCCAGTTCCGAATCGCTTCCACACTCATACCTTCATCATGCGAGCCTTGACGGCAACAAGTCCTAGGTGTTGGGACAGTTGGGGGGGTTGGGACATCCACACGATGCCTTGCTTGGATCTATTGCGGGAGATTCGATGTTGCTTCAATGCACCCTGAAAACGCGGTTTTTTTTTCCCAGGCTGGGACCGCGAGCTTGAGTGCTGCACGGGCTGGAGCTTCGGGGGCGAAACCGGATCTCGGGGTGTTGATGTCACTGAACTTCAACCAGTCTGTCGCATCTTCCGTCTTGTCGGTGTAGTCTTGCTGGCGGATGATATTTTTTCCAACAGAAGTTGTAGACGTGTCCCCCTAGAATGAGGGCCCAACTTTCGAGAAGGAAGGATCATCCCCCAGAAAAGGGATCCTTAATTGCAAGAAGCTCCCGTATCAATGCGCGCAAACCCTAAACCCTATATACCCTAAACCCGAAACCCCTGAACTCCTAAACCCCTCAACCCTAAGCCCTTATAAGCCCTACACCCTAAACCCTAAAACTCCTAAACTCCTAAACTCCTAAAACTCCTAAAACTCCTAAGCCCCTAAGCCC